GCATTGATCTGATCCGTTGTGAAAGCGCAGAGCCATCGCACTTTTGAAGCCACCAGCTGCGGCAACCTGGACAGGGAGTTGTGCAGCTTATTAGACACGCAAGCTTTGCAATCAAAGTCTTTTGACAACTCTGACAAACAGCTTCAGCTTGCTAGGAGCTCGCCATGGTGCGCGGGCAGCCAGAGAGCGGGCGGCACGGTGCCATTTGGGTCTCAGTGAATTATTCATTTCAGAAGGCGCAACTGTCATTGCGCTGATCTTGATCAGTACTGATGGGTATATCAGTCACGCTCGCGAGACACCGGAGCCGCGTCTTCTTCAGCAGCCTCACTGCTATCACGGTGAAGTGGAAGCTAATAGTGACGTATCGTCTTCTATTTCTGGCCCTGCTGCGTAAGGTGGATTGTGAAATTGCTTTGTGGAGTTGCAGGCATGTGGAAGAAAGCATTAAATAAATAAATAATAGGGGTTTTTTTTGTCTCGGGGTGCAAGAAAAAAACAATGCAATTTTAAAATCACTCTTTCACACTTCATATTTCATGATATTTCATAGTTTTTGCCTCCTTTTGTGTTGATAAATATGTTGGGTTTTTTGAGTGGGTATTAAAATACTGACACCTATAATGGAACAGATTATGTTTCACCTTGTACAATATTTCCTTTTACAGGCACAAGTTCATACACGTGTGTGTGTGTGTGTGTGTGTGTGTGTGTGTGTGTGTGTGTGTTTCTGTGTCAAGTACTTAGGACACCTGATTAAGATGCCTCCAAGATCCAAAACTGATCAAATGTTATCTTCCATTTTTAAGTGTTAAAAAAAAAAAAACGATTTTAAGGTTTTATACACCTGCTGTTTGCAATATTTATTTATATAAAGCATATAAGTATTATAGCATAATACTAGTAAAATTAGTAATCTTTTACAATAAGTTTGTGTTAACACAATAGTTGACATTAACTAACAATGAAGAAAACTAAGCATTTGTTAATCTTAATTAATTCATACAAATACTATGTTAAAAAAGTTGTACAGTAGTGACTAATAATGAATAAATGCTCTATCGTTTGTTGTTAGTTTATGATACCTAATACAGTTTTACATAGTACAAAATACAGTTTTAATTTAATAATAGTTTCATTGCAGACAAATCAAGCGTAGGTCACATCAGTCAAGCTCACACCAGCTGACTCTCAGCTGATCCACGTCTACCTATAGGAATACGACACCTATCACAGCATCCCTATAAGGTCCATTCAGTATCATTCATCTGCTCAGGAGCGAAGTAGCCTCCTCCATCCCCAGCTCCACCTCTCAACCACAGTCATTTTTGTTGGATCTGTTTGGTTCACCGTAAGGGGGTTATCGCTGCGCTCCCTGCTCAGGCTGCATGGATGGGTGGAAAGTTCTCAACCAGAACAGAACCGCCAATCAATACTGGATGCTAATTAGGGCTGGGTATGGACACAAATTAACACAAACAATTCGATTAAATTTCGATTCACAAGCTTGCAATTCGATTCGATGCAATATTGATTATTTTGGATATCAGGTACAATACATGGCAAATTTTCTCAAGGAAAACAAATCTCTTAACTAATGCTGTAAACTATATGGGAGTCAGTTGTAGCCTACTAGGCTTCATTAGCCTACTATAATATTGGTATTTGTAATACAAACACTTAAATTACACTTTTATTTATTTTTATAATAATAAAGTTATATGAAATATAAACATTTAAATGGTGGCTGTCATAAAAACTTGCCAGATTTATTCAAACATGCATTAAATATTGAAGAACATTACAAATTATAATGAATGTGTAATATGGTGCATATATTTAGCAAAATGCTCTTCTCTAGAGTTAATTTTTCTAGCTGACGAGTTTATGGTCACTGGATATGATTACTGGCTATTACCCATCTTCTGAAAAAAAATTATTGAATCTCCAGATTAAAACACAGGTGAAGAAAAAGAAGCAGAAACAAGTGTTAGCATATGTAAGCAGATGCGTAAAATAGCGCGATCATCAACATTAAACAGCATATAAATCAAAACTGCCTAATGTTACTGAATAAAATGTGGACCAGGACGAGCGATAGGACTGTGAAGCTGTGGGGGTGTTGATGGACTCAATCTACTCTGTGTTTTCATCATCATTCTGAATCCGTTCTGGATGTAGTCATTGACAAAAACGTTTTTCTTAAAAAAAATATAAAAAAATGTATGAAACTTACCCACATTCAAGTGTTAATAAAAATAAGAATGCATGAAGCTATAATAAAACGTTCTGTGTGTGTGTTTGTTGAAAAGCAGCGGGTCTGTTCTTTCTTTTGATGTATTGCATATTCAGCTATCCATACAACATTCTGGGGCCCATGACATTTTTGTAAAAAAAAAATAATCATTTTAAATGCGGGCGGGGAAAGAGTTAAGAAGATGTGACCATCTTCATTGCATTTTGAAGTACTCATGGCTTTTTACGCAGTCTAGATTTTATTTTCAAAGAAATCGCTGATTAAGCCTGTGAGTTCTCCGCGCCTCCCCTGTGATTCACTTCCAGTCAACTGAGTCTTTGAACAGTGTCTGCCAACTGACAGCGGTGTACTGGGAGATCAGAGCGTTTCACTCTCTCAAAGTCCCCTCAGCGGCCAGAAAGTTTTAAAGCCGTTTCATTTTTCATAAAGTCCCGTTACAAAGGGCACAAATGATAATGTATTATTGATGTCTTCGTTCCCAGTGGAGGCTGTTCTCTTGTATTAAAGCAACAGAGACACACAAGATGCTTTCGCACTAAAAAATTAACACACATTAGAGCTCCGTTTGAGTGCATTACGTCTTTGGTAAGTGTTGTTTCGGTGAAGCATCACCAGTACTGTTGCTCTTATTTAGGGTTTAGTGATGTGTTCAAACCCTTAACATAAAGTATTTTAAGTCCGCCTTTTATAAATGCTGACAAATAAACTAATGAATTTCTGTCCTCAAAATAACTCCACAATAGTCCAGTAAGGAACGTACAGTGTGTCCCTAACTCATTTTCCTTGTAGAGCGGCTTGTGAAGCCTTTTGGCTATTGTAAACATTTTCAAAAGCTTTGTTAGCATATAAAGGTCGTCATGAAGGCACGTTCTTTGGAAATAACAAGCAGGCATCCGCGCTCAATGGACCGGCGGCCTCGTTGAGGAAACTTCATTGTAAAGTTTCTCGGAAAGACTCCACAACACTTTCCACTAGCATCGACTCTCCTGGGTCCCAAGGTCAACGTCGCCCTAACCAACTACTCTGTGTTGCCACGGTTACCACAGCAACTCGTCTTGGCAACAGCCTTGCTTACGTTTGCTAAACGATTAATAGGCTGTTATCTCATCAGGAGTAGTTTAGATGTTGAAGAAGCTCTGGAGCACTTATTATCGGTAATGGCAAAAGGGAATAATTGCTCTGATGCATTTAAACATGTTTTTTTTGGAAGTGGCACGAGCTTTTGAAAGCATTTTTGTGGATGTTCTTTTTGGGCATCGTATGTGCTTTTTAAACGTTCAAATCGATTATTTAACTTCGTTTAATGCCCAAAATGCTGTCTAGGTAAGAAGCTCACATGTTTTTTTTTAGACATGGCCTATAATCACCCAAAAATTTACATTTTTGTCATAATTTACCCATCCTCAAGTTGTTCCAAACCGGTAGGAGTTTATTTCTTCTGTTGAACACAAAAGATGATATTTTGAAGAATATGGGTAACCAAACAGTTGATGGACCGCATTGACTAACATAGCATGAAAAACAAAAATACTGTGGAAGTATTTCTTTTATGCATTGCAAACTTAAACATTTGGTTTTCTGTGGCATTTGGTTGTGAATTCTGCTTGTCAAATATTCATCTTGGTAAAATGATCTAGCTTGGTTTTGTTGAATGGCTTTTTTGCCATGTATGCCAACATTTTACAACAGATGTGATTCTAAACATATTGCTGTCTTAATTATAATACTGATACTATATAAAATATGGTTTGAAAGTGTGTGCAGTGTGTAATAATTAGCACAAATAAATGGGCCTTGTGCCTGTAATTCTGAACATGATTCTTTTACTGTATGATTCATTGCAATGCGTTCGTGTTGGCTTTTTTTTTTTAAAGAATGTATAAAAAAATGTCAGTCATTGACTCAAGGATGTCTAGAATCTCATAGAAACTCAGTTCAGTCTCAGAAGAGAATCTGTATCTCTCTTTTTTTTTTGCTGTCTTGGCCAGGATGTGTATAAATGCTCCATCTGTGCATTAGCTGAATCAACCATTCATCTGTCTGTCTGGAGCGTTTCATCACACAAACTGATATCTGACACATCTTTCAATGTCTTTGAGAGGTTTCTATCTCAAAGAGAAAGCTGTCTGTAACACATGTTGCATTTCTTTCACATTGATGTCATTCCCTGGAGAGCTGCTGCCATTTTCTTTCGTTACTATGTTTTGTAAAGATGTGGCCGTTTCATTTCATTTCATTTGTCCACGATGGTAATCAGGTGGTCCCGCAGCGAGGTTGTGTTTCTGAGACGCCACACTCTCCATATCCTGCTGTCTGTGATGTGATTAGATGTCCATTAGTTCAGTTTCAATTAAGACTGGCGGCATGAGCACCTCTGCCCGAGTGTAGACCACGTCACCAGTTAGAGATGCTCTATAATTAATCAAATCATTTCCTGAATCCTGACTTGAAAGCGGGAAGTGCAACTGAGTCATTCCTGTTGTGAAGTGCCTTTGAACTCTTAACTTTAATGAATATACTTCTGTTGGCATTTAAGATGAATAAAAGGCTTTCATAAATGGAACACCTCAACTGTATTACTTATAACTAGACTTTTTATTTATAATAGTATACAAGCATTTGATGAATTTATGAAAATCTTTAAACATAATTCTGTCTATTGCTTGCTTTTGACGAGTGAGAAAAGTGTAACAAACAAATAATCGATCCATCATTGCTAAACAATTGTCTCTGTTTGTTTCAGATCTTCACACGCTATGGAAAATGCTACACCTTCAACTCGGGACAGGACGGACGGCCACTGCTGGTCACTATGAAGGGAGGGATGGGTAATGGTCTGGAGCTGATGCTGGACATCCAGCAGGACGAGTACCTGCCCGTGTGGGGAGAGACCGGTACGACTCACTAAACCCAGTAATCTCATGTGTCTTCTCTGTTTTTGATGAGATCCCATCATACTGACCGGCACAAATGTTAAACAATTGCCTAATTTGTGACTGTTTTTACATCTCCTAAAGAACTGTAGAAGAGATGAAGTTAATACTTGCATTGCATCTATGTGGAACCATTATTTCCCCTGAAGAATGAAAGACCTTTTAGGGCTGTCACGATTCCTTGATTAAATTTATATGTCGAGTAACCGGCAAAATACCGGAAGTAGCACATTCCACGGACGAGAATCCATGAACCGCATTATTAGACCGTTTTCTAAGGCTACGTGATGTATTAAAAACCATACTATAACATAGTCCTATTGTGAATTCACACAGGCTGCGATTCAATTAAATAAATATATGCGCTGCATGTTTAATATTAAATTATTAGCATGCGTGTGGGTTAAGTGTGTCTCAGAGCAGCTCCGTTCACAGTAATTGCTGCTTATCATTTACATGCGTGGAGCGTCTCAAACTCCATCTCTGCTTATGCTGTGATTTTGGTTGGCTTATAAGCCAAAATAACGTTTATCTGGGAACACAATATGCACCATTTCATCACATTTGTAACATAAATAATTTATAAACCTACAGTATGCCAACACAGGACAATACATCAATGTATTTCTAAATATGCTGTAGTGACTGTAGTATTACTTTCGTAAAAATTTGGCCAAATGTCAAAGGTTAAGTAAACTTGATTTAAATGTTGTTTGGCCAATATTGAACAAGGATTTGATCTGCTGTAAAGTGTAACAACAACAGGCGCCCTCTACAGGCATTTGTTATAATACATAATGTACATAAGACAAATGTTTATATTATGTATATTATGTATTTTAAAACCACATTATTACTTGCTTTTGATACTTTATTTGAACAAAATATTATTGCCTCATTTTTATTATGTGTATTTTAAAGGCTTAGCTCTTTGCTTTGGTCTATTTTATTACCACAAATAATACCCGATTACCTGATTAATCGGCAAAATAATCGAAAAATAATTACTCTTAGTAAAATAACAGTTAGTGTCAGCCCTAATCTTTTTCAGATCTTTATCCATCAGATCAACAGTTCTCTAGTTTTACACTCCTGATTCACCAAGAGAAATTCGCACTAAAATGATTCCAGCTGAAACTCTTGGGAATACACTCATTCTTCCAGGCAGATTTGCATAAAATCAGCATGACTTCAGCTGTCTAAACGTCAATAATCTGCTTATGAGGGTTTAGTTTAGGATTAATCTTTGTTTGCTAGACTGTCGCTCTGACTTTAATATTAATCAACAGGTTAAACTGAGCAGACTGTGAATGAACTGTTAAATGATGTCTTAAAGCTCACCGCAAGGGACAGAATTAATGCAAATCAATGAAAATACTGCTGGTGGGCATAGACACGCAAAAACACTTGCACATTAGCTCTGTTCCAAAACATAGTGTGAACCCCCTAGATAGCTGCCTTCTTAGGCAGTATCCTACCTGAAAAAAACTGCTTTGAAACGCTCGACTACACTTGATTCAATGGAGTTTATTGTTAGCGTTTTGCTAATATTGAAACAAATATAGGCAAAATAATAGTTTTTTATTAGAATAAAACATTTTATGCCTTAACAGGGCTTGACAATAAGGACCAGTGTTTCCCCTAGAAATGTTTCCAGCAGCGGTGCTGTCACGTGCTGTAGGTTGGTAATTGAGTCCTTATTTGAAACGCGCCTACATTTGAAATAACGAATTTGAAGGCGCAAAAAACGCGCTATGTGATCGACCAACTTATGGCAACGTGACATTAGCCTAATCGAAAATATTTCCATATGTAGCTCTTTCCTCCTTTCTTGTCAAGGAGTGGATTCAGAGCCACCGCATTAGCAGTGCCGCCAGTCGCCACGTCTCAGTGTTTTTAGGTGTGTATTAAGTGAATGAAGTGAATGTCATGATATTACTGATCATGTGAAGATTTTGCAGCGGCGCTGCGCAGCTCTGAATACATGGTAGGGGAAACACTGAGGACTGCCCGATGGCCCGGGGCCAGTGTGAACGACGCTCGGGACAGTTGAGGGAACTGTCACTTGCCCGATTGGGCCAGTGCTGTAGGGGTGTACGATATATCGTCTATGATATCGTTATTGTTGATTTAATGATCTGACATCATCGAGTATGTCCCTCACTTCACAAAAAAACAAACAAAAACACACCCATTGAGTGCACGCACGTGATGTAGTCTAGTGGATTAGACTAGCGCGCGTGCACATTTAGAGCGCAAGCTTTTACTGCGTGATTAGTCTATTACATAGGTCGGCAACCCGCGGCTCTAGAGCCGCATGCGGCTCTTAAGCGCCGCCCTAGTGGCTCCCTGGAGCTTTTTCAAAAATTTGAAAATGGAAAAAATATTTTTTGTTTTAATATAATTTCTGTAGGATGAAAAACATGACAAACATTCTTAAAGTTTTTCAAAGTTGTAAAAATGTGTATAATAAATATTTAATTTCAACATTTCTGTCAACGAAGAATTTACGTCATAGACAGACTGTGACACACGTGTCTGTCAGATCGGCCTGATGCCAGACCGGTGGCTGACAAACAATCAAACAAACCGGCGGGTGTGTCATGGGCCATGGATCCCAAGGGGAAAATGAGAAAGATAGCTGAGCACTCCCAACGCAATAGAGTGCGGCGCGGGACTAGATTTGATGGGCGAGTGCGAGCGCGGGCGCGTGCGGTAATGCACTCACTCTACTAAAACAAAATAGAAACGATTTACAGGCCAGAATTTCTATTCATAACATGTTTGCAGCGTTGAGCAATATAGCCAATCACAGACATATGTGTTGATTTCTTGAACGCAATGGCCAATCAGAAGCATTTAAGATAGACTCCCCTCACGCTCAAAACTGACTTTTTTGTTCAGTGCTGAATTCTGCATGCTGGCAAATCCTCCAATTATAACGAACAACGTGTGGATATTATGAAAGATTCATTGTGCAGTCAGCTTCATTGATAATAACAGAGATGTGTGAGATCGCAATGAACTGTCAGCTTTTTAAGAATTATTAAGAGAGCGCACTTTGCGCGCATTCAGTCATGCATGCCAAACCATGCACGCATTCAACTGCTTGCTTTTATGTTAAATTAACAGTGGTTTGTGTTTTAATGCTTTAATAACAAATCATTTATCAGGAGGATGTATGGTGGCGACACGTAGGCTAACTTGAAAGTATTTGGAGGTACAGAAAAAAGTCTATTTGCGGGCGGGAGCGGGACAAAACATAAATGTTGCGGGCGGGAGAAAGAAAGTTGAGAACGTCAGTTATAACGACCCACGCATTAAAAAATGGTCGGGTTAAAATCGGGCTCGGGCTTGATTTTTTGGGCCCGATCTAAGCTCTAATTTGTATCCTACTTATCATTTTGATACTAGAGGGCTAATTTAACACTTACAGCATGTGTTGCCTTCATTATAAGGCTTATATAATGCTTTTAATTTTTTGCGGCTCCAGACAGATTTTTTTTTTTTGGTCCAATATGGCTCTTTCAACATTTTGGGTTGCCGACCCCTGGTCTATTAAAATGCATTTAAAATACCCCCAGATTCAGCATAAGGGGCAAAATGTCCCTGTATGTCTTATATATTTATATAATTTAATATAGTAATAATACCAATACCAATTAATACCAATATTACACGAAGAGCGCTGTTTTTCTCCAAATATCAGCATGATTACAAATATAACATTGATTTTATACAACGTACAGTTTAATAAACAAGTTAATATTAAGTGACTTACATTTTAGACATTGAATCGCCTGTTTTGCTCTATTCGCGTTTTTTCCCGAACCAGGCCAGTAGAAAAAATCCTTAGCGTTGAGCCCTGCCTTAAAGTTCCCCTGTAGTCAATCATTTTATCTCTTAAAACTCACCTTTGATCACCAAAATTACATATTTAAACGTTTTTTCCTTGAAAAAAATCTGCCATACCTTAAAATAGCTTAAATGTAACTACACCCAGCCTCATTTATTATACGCGGTTCTATGAATATGCTAATTAGCCCCGCCTCCACTCACTCACAGCAGCTCAGAGATCCACTCGTTGACAATCACACGTTGATCTGATTGGTTACAAGGTAGTTTGTGACATCAGAAACACCAGCGATTTCAAACCATGTTTTTGAGACTGTCTTTTTTCACTGCAGTTTTAAAAAGGAAATACTCAATTTCAATTGTGAAAATGCAATTGTGTTAACTTATGAATTTGCACATGGTTTGTCTTAAAGCATATTAAAAACACCACATAGACAAATAAACAACATTAATAGCTGGATTTTCACCACAGGGGACTTTAAAGAAACAAAGATCAAGGATATGGCCATAATTAGGTATCTTAAAAAGTTTCATAATTAGACTAGATGGTCTTTTTTATTAGATTAAATCATTTTTATTAATACTTTTCAGTAAGCAAAGTGGGCGTTTGTCTTGACTTGTCTGCCATATTAAAATTGTTTTTCACTGAGCTTTTTACAGTTTATTCTGGGATAATTATACAGGTGATGTTGCCTTAAAGAAAGAAAAAGAATTTGGCCAAAATTAGGTATCTTAGAAGGATTCATAACTATGTATGACTTTTTAAAATGGTAGGTATATAGGGAGATCACTTTTGGAACAGAGCTCTTGACATAAAACAACAATAAAAACCACATCAACACTCAGCAGAACAATTTAAAAAAACGAACAAGCACAACACTGCAGTAAACAACAACAGCAAACGTTGGATATGTTTTCCGGCTGAAGGTCAGAATGCTGCGAGGAGAAATCTGTGACCTTTCCAGTAAAGTTCAGTCGGTTTCGAGCACTCAAGATTCAGAAAGTGACGTCAGGCTGGATCCCATTGATCAGAAAATGGCAAATATACAAACACACGTTACAGCTGCAAGTCCGCAAGCCAATTACATGTGACGCAACACGTCCAGTGAAACTCGCTCGTGTCTTGTCTCTCAGTGGGACCCATTTAACAACTTCACACCTCTGTAATTGAAAAGAGAGAGGGGGTAGATGGGAAACTCTGCACACCTGCCTCTGTCACCACCCGACATTTACCGAGATTGTTTTTATAATGCTGTGATTTCCCAAAGAGCTCTGCTCGCGCTCCTTCAAATTTCTCCTCACGGCAGGTGCTCTCTGAGGTCTCAGATATCTAATCACATCCTGCAAGCAGCTCTCTGGTTACTCGGGTGAGAGCTGTCCTGAAATCTTTTCCACAGCTGACTGGATTTCACCGTAATTACAGAGCAGCTGTCTCGAAGTCCTGACAATGCCAGGCTCCTTCAGATACACTGCACTGCTTCCTCTCTAAGGCTTTTCACTCTACACTTAACCCGGGGTTAATGTCTTCTTAACCCTGAGTTAATGCACGGGTCACACTTTTAACCCTGGGTTATGAAGCACTGCTAACCCTGAATTAGACACCAAAGAGGTACAACATGAAACAATGTAGTGCTAGAATGTTTTGGCAAGACTTTTAGCGTCAGAAAACCAATCATAAACTGGCTATTGCTTGCCTAATTAAAGGTGCACTATGTAAGAATTTTGCAGTAAAATATCCAAAAACCACTGGGCCAGTGTTATATATTTTGTTTAGTTGATTACTTACAATATCCCAAATGTTTCCAACTATTTGTAAATCGTGAGAAAATTGCGATTTTAACCAAGGAAACGGGGCGTGTGAGCAGTATCAGGGGTGAGGGAGTCGCCAGTCAATGACGTCATATCCGCGTTACCCTCGGTTTCCGCTCGTACTGCCATAGTAACCATGGCGACAGACGTGGACAACTGGGTTACGCCTAGCGGTACGCTCACGCTGTTGTTGTTTTGTTCAAACATTTTGGACCATGGCAAGCAGACTTTGAGACAAAAAGAGGACTAAAACGAGTATCAATATCATTTTCGAGATGCCGAGAGCTCCACGCGAGTGGCGTCTCTGTTAAGAGTGTTGCATTAGACAGGTGAGCAAATGTACATAAAACGAATCAATGTTATATAGTTCAACATGATGAAATGTTAGAATATGATTTGTATGTTATTTAATGTTGATCTAGCTTACTGCTAGTCTCATACAGCCAACAAACTAACACATAGAATAACATTCAACACACTCAAATGCAGTTTAGTGTGATAGTGTAACTGTTAGAGCAAGTGAAACAGTGCTGCATTACCTCAAGTTTAATTCATCTAATAAACTGACCAGTGTGAGTAGTAATAAAGCACTTGCGTGTAGTTCGATAGAATGAAATGTCCTCATTCCTTTATATTCGCGGGACTCGCGTGTGGCGCTGATATCTGTCTCTCTTTGGCAATCGCGCCCTGCTTCATACCACAGTCATGTTAAAAACATCAATGTATTCACTCCATAAACATTATTAGATCCATCAGCTTGACGACAGGATCCATAATTCCGCTTAATGCTTTGCGTCATCAACCTACGCCTTTGTTATTGTAAGAGGTTAGCGACCCCTAGCGGCGAAAAAATTACAAATTGTAGCTTTAAATATTCATGAGCTTTATATAGTCACAGCTACTTACATTAATTTTTTTTAAGTTTCAGCATCTGAGGAAAATAGTTTAAAATGTTGAACAAGTGGAGTCAAGCCTTCATTTTGCATCAACTTGGCTTTGTTTTAAGTTTTTCAAAATGCTAAAACTTTTAAATGGTTTAAATGGTCTCAGGCCTGGTTTCACAGACAGGGCTTAGACTAAGCCAGGACTAGGCCTTAGTTAAAATAGGACATTTAAGTAGCTTTTATAAACGTGCCTTAGAAAAAAAACATTGCTGGTGTACATCTTGAGACAACGCAATGGCACTTACATATTTTAAGATATGTCAGTGCAAGTTGCTTTCAGTTTAAACAGCTCAAACATGCATTTTAGTCTGGGACTAAACTTAAGCATTGTATGTGAAACCGGGCATCAGACTTCGACTTCACCAAATGTTGCGACCTTTCCTCAAATTGTTATTAAATCAGGTTGAAAGCTCCTCTTGTCCTTGTCCAATCTTGTACGCACATACAAACGTTGCCCCAGGGTGTACAGTGTAAAATCTTGAAGCCTGACTAGGCAAGACTAATTACAAAACCAGGATTGAGTTTAGCAAAGCCTGCTATTGACTGTAAACTGAGTTCATTCTGTCTGCTGGATGATTCTCTCTCTAGATGATCTGCTAATATACAATTCATTAAACAGGACATCTGTGAGTTTACGGTGTTCGGCTGTATAATTTCCCCCATGTTATGCTGTTGGTGTTGTAATGATCATTAAGCAGATGTTTAAAAGGGAAAAAAGCAATAAAACAGGTGGGAGACGTCTGAAACTCCTCTGTGTAGATGATATGCTTGGAAACTGCATTTGTAACAATAGTCATTAGTAGTGTCACATGTGGGCCGATTTGTTGACTGGCTTTCTTCCACAGCCTGCTGGATTTTCATTCAGCGTTTAGATGGTAATATGCTGATTTAAAGCATTTAAATGAGGCCGGGTAGTGTCAAACGCAGCCTATAATCTGCGCTAACGCCCTCAAAAGTGTTTGCTCAGCTGTCCATAGAGAAACCTGAAGATTATTCCTGTTTACAGGCTGTGGGTGACACATGGATAAATGTCGAAATATTACAGACGTCAAGCTGTTCGAAATATCTTGAGACTAGTCTGTTTTCCTGCCAGCTTGGTTTTGGTTTGTTTTCCTTTTATTTTGTTTAATGTCTTTCTCATTTTGAAAATTGTTGTTGATTTCCTGTTTGCTAATTTGAGTTGTGCATATAAACTGTGCCTGCAATTTTCTCTTGTTTAGAGCCAAATGTTTAAACTCAACCTTATTTGTTGCTTTATGCACAATGTTTTATCTCAATCACTACATATTGTTATGATCTTACGTGCTGTTTTTATAAATATTGGATGTGGGACATTTCTACTTTCATCAAAGCGTCATGTGATAGAAGAATTTTGGTAACACTTTACTTGAAGGGGTGTACATAAGACTGACATGACACCTTCATAACCATGACATGACATATGTCATGAATATGAAGTAGGGTTTATGCATGTTTATGACAACTGTCATTAAGTGTCTTTCGCTAATAATGACAATAATGACATTTTGAATGCAAATATGACATTGTTTAAGATGTCTTTGTTATGACATCTTGACATAAACCATAACATCATAACCTGTCAGTGTCTTTGTCATGACAACTTGACATTCAATTAAGTTAAACTGTCATGTGGTTGCTTTTGACATTGGCTGTCATAAGGCCATTATAACTGTGTCATGAATATTTTTCGTGACCTCAACTACATGGTACAAATTGAATTTGTCATTAAACAGTTATAATGGCTTCATGACAGCCAATGTCAAAACCAACCACCTGACAGTTTAATGTAATGTTAACCAATAAAGCTAAGTGGTTTCTTAAGTTTGATAATTAATCTGCTATGTCATGTTTATGACAGGTTGTGTTATCTTAGTAATGTCAAGTTGTCATGACAAAGACACTGCAGGTTATGATGTATTGGTTTATGTCAAGGTGTCATTACAAAGACATCTCAAACAATGTCATATTTGCATTAAAAATGTCATAATTGAGTGAATGACACTTAATGACAGTTGTCACAAACATGCATAAAACTTCCTTCATATTCATAACATGTGTCATGTCATGATTATGAAGGTGTCATGTTAGTCTTATGCACACCCCTTCAAGTAAAGTGTTGCCAGAATTTTTACTATTTTTTTTATGCTTTTTTTAAACTTCCCAATGGTCTACTAATATTTGCAAATTACCGTTGTTGAATATTTAATGTTTAAACTTGCATTGTTGCATTGTTTTATTGCTATAGTCACATTGTTATGTCATTTTTTTGTAGAAGCCATGCTTTTTTGGGGTTCTTAGTTTGGATTTAGTTTGTCTACTTAGTAGTCACACCATTGACTTTCTTAAAACAATCTTCTTTTACTTTTTCAACAAAAAAGACTCTTGGGTTGAACTTGAGTCTGTTTGATGCTGTGATATAAACTGAAAGAGCAGCCCATCTGATCTGATATCATCTGTTCTTCTGAGAAACCTGCGTTGAGTACACGTCTCAGTCTTCATGTCTCATTTTCTCTCTCTCTCAGATGAGACGTCGTTCGAGGCAGGAATCAAAGTCCAGATCCACACGCAGGATGAACCGCCTTTCATCGATCAGCTGGGATTCGGAGTGGCTCCAGGCTTCCAGACGTTCGTCTCCTGCCAAGAACAGCGGGTACCAAATGATTGTTCTTTTTGTCAATTTCTCAGTTGCTGGACTCGTCTCAAAGCGCACAGGCCGCCGTTTGTGTCAGTGGGTTGTTTTAGTCCTTGGTTTTGGTTTTTACAGCTGCTTGTTTTTATTAATTTACTTGTTTGTTTTTGAATGCATTAATGTGAAGTAGCACGACTCCATTTCTCCATGATTGGCATCATGACGTTATTTTGATGCAAATTAAGAAATTTTCAAGCCCAATCTCTCAAATTTTCCTTATATTTTATGAGAACTATTCAAATTAGTGCTGTCAAACGATTAAAATATTTAATCGCGATTAATCGCATTAATGTCATAGTTTAATCGCAATTAATCGCACATTTTTATCTATTCTAAATGTCTCTTGATTTCTTTTTGTCCCATTATTTTTTCTCATTTTAATGCTCTTATCAACATGGAAAAGTGGATCGGCTTGCTTTGTGCAAATTTTTTTTATTGAAAACAACATTGGCATATACTGTGTTCAATTTCACACTAACATTCTCACTTGGAGCAAATAATCTCTCAAACAATGTAACACTATCCATCAATAAAAGGGTGAAAGAAATACTGACGAGGTCCTGATATTGACGAGGGGGTGGAGAATTCGCATCAGCTGTGTGTGTGTGTTTCAGACTGGACGTGCTGCGATGATGATAGCTCAGTTCACAACGACAAAACACACAGATCACTTTGGTCTTGTCAATGGAACCATTTGGCAACTTTTTAAAAGTAAACTTTCCATTCAGAATCTTATTGGCATCCATTTCGGCGTCTCGCGCTCGTCATTCACTCAAAACGTAACGTTAACCTACTATTTGGCCGGCTCGCAAGCCCAAACAAGTGTGTGCGGCGTGCCTGTTGTTTTGTTTCCGGTCTAGCTAGATCCGCTTGCGCTTTGGTCGACGAGGCCACAAAACGTCCTTGCGCGGCGCAAGCCATTGAAATGAATGGGTTTCATAGCGCAGCGCCGCGCATGCCGCGTGCTGTTGCAAAAGCATGTTGTTAGGGGGTTATAAGACCCAAGACTAGATATGATGAAAGAAGACCATGACTTCTGCTGATGAAACTGCAAACTATCTTCAGTAAAACTTTTCTTGAATTTTTTTATAATTCTGACTCCGGGTCTTCATTCTTCATATCTGGTTCTGGGTCTTTGACTGTATACCCCTTACAATGTGAAAAAAACTACAAATAACGCGTTTAACTGACAGCCCTACTTCATATATAATGGTAGTAGTTGTTATACTGCCTTTAAGGTTATTTTTGAGAATAACAAGACCTATTGTGGTAAATAATGAGAATTTTGCCAATTTTAGTAGCGAGATCTGCCTAATTGTAATGAAAATTAAGTCAAATGCAAAATCTCATGCTCACAAAATAGGCTTCATTAAAAAAAAAAACTCATGGTCATAAAATAGGCTTCATTTTCACTATTCAAAACATAGTTTCCTGCATTTTTTTTGTTTGTTTGTGAGGTGAGATATGATGTGGACAGCTTTGTGAGATTCATCCAAGAAGAAATTCGGTCTCCCACCACCACAAGCATGATTTGATTTTCAAATGAGAGCAAACGGCCGACACAGGTCGACCCTGCTGTCTGGAATAAATATTATTTATTTATAGGATTCTCAGAATCCATGTATAATTTTCATGGCAAGGCCACGTCATAAAATAAAAACTGCAGCTTTGTTTCTGTGAGTGAAAGAAAGAGGTGAAATCCAGGCATGTGTGATCAATAAATGAGCGTCAAAGAGACGGGCTGAAGATCTGACTCGCTACAGACAGACAGAAAGCTGGTTGATATGCACAGACGGCTCCCTGCTCCTTGTAATTGGAGGTCAGTGCATCTCCCATGTGTGGTGGATTGATTTCAGTAACATTTCCCCTCATTTATTTTCCTCTTACACAAAGATCAAGTCTGCGTCTCCAGATGCATCACCAAGATTGTCAATGTCACTGGCTTTTACAGGATTAGCATCCGTCTCTGTCTGTCGCTCTCATCATGGTTCACACAGTCAGCGTTTAGGATTGACAGCCGTATTTACTAATGGATGTGGCGCTCAGATTGCCCTGGGCCGACAGGAGCAGATGGAATAATGTCTGCATGGACATCTGAGTTAACTTAAGTCAATCCACTTCAATTACTCAAACAATGTCTGTTACCCTACAGACAGATAACCATAGATCTCAAGATTTTTAGAGAGGTAAATGTTTATCACCTTTCGCCCCGCCAGCGACGGCCCTGCTTAACAGGAATTATGTGTTGTTCTAAATCCACACAATAATGGGTTTTATTTTGTTGTTATTTTACCAACTTCAATGATATTTACTAAAAATTAACTAGTTAAGATTTAATTAGGCTGAAATATTTTTAAAGTCCCCCTGTAGTAAATAATTGTATCCTTTAAAACTCATCTTCGGTCACCGAATTGACAAATTGAAACATTTTTTGACAAATTGAACATTCCCGTTCTCCATCTCAGAGTCAGACAGCTGCCTTCTAAACAATCATCAGAAACGCTTTGAACAACTCCAGTGGAAAAAGGCATATAGTTAATCATAACATCGTAATATATAGTACATGATTCACGCGCTATATTGCTGAATCTAACCGATCGTTCATATCAACAGAAAATATACCGGCATAACCTGGCTTCTCTCGAGACTCCCCTGCTCGTTCCCTGTTAATGATTTGCTAAACACTTCAAACCACGTTTTTTGAGACTGTCTTTGGTTCACTGCAGTTTTAAAGAGAAAATACTTAGCAATGGTGTTGACTTATGAATTTGCACATGGTTTGATATATTAATTATATTAAAAACACCACATAGACATATAAACAACATTAAAAACTTGATTTAAGTCTTTTTTTTTCACTGAGCCCAGGGCATTCTGGGATTGGATACATGCCAAAACAAGGTATCTTAGAAGGCAGCACAATGATGCCGGCGCTCATGTTGAAGGCCACTCTATAAGACCCTGAGATGCTGCCCATATTGGCAGCTTACAAGGTTTCAGAGCGAAGTCAACATGTCAGATGCTGTCGGTAGAGCTCGCGTTGTTTTGAATCTGAAACATTGCTTAAAGGCTTTATGTAGGAAGTTTATGGGTAGTGTTGAGGAATTCATATGCAGTGGCGTTATGTAAAGCATTAGTTTGTCTTAGCTTTTGTGTCTGGAGTTTGTGTGTGTATTTTTATCCCATATGCAGCATTTGTTTATGGTGTGTGTGTGTGTGTGCATTTCTTAAGCTGATAGTGAGGTGTCTTCAGGGATTATAGCGTTGTCCAAAGCTGAGTGAGCTGCCTACCTAGACATCATTTTAAGGTGTATGCAAAGGCTGTTCCAAAATGTTGGCCGCATTATCCAGCCTTTTAAGATAAAGGCAGCATCAAATAATGCATTTTTATGAGCTCTGTTTGAAAAATTGTCTATATCCACCTTATTTTGCAAGCTATTTTCTGTGGATGTACAAGACTTCCAATTCATTTGCTGCTATAGGTAAATAACTAGAATACCAAATAAACAGTAAAACTATTTGCGCTACGAACCAGTGAGTTTATGATCATACTAAATTAAAATATGATAATAACTACCAGTTTGTAATATCAAGCAGCATAACAGATTGTTTTAAGCCTGGTCTTAATCTCCTGTGTTTAATTGAATAAAAATACTTGTGAATTGTTATGCTCATTAGATTGTTAAACTGTTAGCAACATGGTAACATTGGAAGCAATTGTGATTCACGTACACACTTTCATGTGAGGAGCAATATTTGATTTGCTACCTATGTACACTTTACATAATTATATTTCTAAGGAATACACCTAAGATTAAAACAGTAATTCACTATTGCCATTTCTTTCTTTCTGTCATGTAGCTGACGTATCTTCCTCCTCCGTGGGGCGACTGCAAGTCTACGCCCATGGACTCTGAATTCTTCAGCACATACAGTATCACCGCCTGCCGCATCGACTGCGAGACGCGCTATCTGGTGGAGAACTGCAACTGCCGCATGGTGCACATGCCCGGTAAACAAACACACACACACACACACACGAAGAAATCCATCAACAGATCTATTACACAGCGCACATGACCGTGTCATATCTGGTTATCTGTGTTAATCTCTTGTGAGCAGCAAAAAACATACATTTTAAAATGTAAGCGCAAATTTTTCATCATTTTGGTTTTGTAGGGCCCTATGAAATCCGTTTTATTTTTTCCTAAATTCCGTTTTATTTTTTTCCCAAATTCCATTTTAATTTTTGGGAATTCATTTTTTTTTACCCTTTACTGTTATTTTAGTCATAAAAAGAGAGTGCTTTTAAAGTTACTGATTAAAATGTATACAAATAAAATAGTAATGACCTTAAATTACAGACATTTACTCATAGCCTTTTCAGGACAAATACTGATGTGAAAATACTGCATGATGCAACATGACACTGCACTCTTCAAGTAACAACAAAATATGGTTATGAGCTTTAAACTGTCCAGTAAAATAAATTATATTAGTTTAAAGTTTAAATAAAAGTCACACTCTGTCTCTCTCTCGCCCAGTGTCGCTCGCGGAGTTCGCTTCGCTTTTGTCCAGTCCGGCGCCTCATAGACAGATGCTGTGTGTGTGTGTGTGTGTGTGTGTGTGTGTGTGTGTGTGTGTGTGTGTGTGTGTGTGTGTGTGTGTGTGTGTGTGTGTGTGTGCGTGCATGTGAGAGAGATGCGTGAGTGATAGAGAGACGGAGGGAGAGCGGGGAAAGGAAATACAACGGAAAGAATAAGCTGCGTGTTTTAAATAGCGTTAAAAAAATGAACGAAGCGCAATATGTGGCGGCCGGAGTTGATTTTGTGGCCGCGAATTAGTCTATGTGTGGGAAACACTGCATAAAAGTCACGTGCGAACTGCTCGGCTCGGTACTGAGGGCTTATAGCGTCGTGTTTCTTAACTTTTTCGCCGAGGAAAGCAGAGCCGTGGAGAGCCGCTTCGCCATGCTTTCATTGTTTTGATGCCGTCATTGGAGCTGAAATGACGGGAGGGGTTGCGTCGCCCAGTTTTGCTTTACCCCCCGGTCTGCATTTTCACCAGACATACGTTCTTCTCCCACACAAAAACAGAATTTCAATCCAAATATGTAAAATTCCACGAAATCCCGCGTTAACACTAGATTCCGCGTTAATTTGCCAGTTCCGTAATTCCGTCCGCGATTCCGTGATCGCGGAAATCATAGGGCCCTAGTTTTGTTCTGTATCCAGATTCTCGGTTAAACCATCGTAAAATCTTTAACTAGAATAAAAGGACAGCTCTCAAAGTCTCATCTTTTTTGCTACGTCTCTATTTTAGTGTGTTCTTGCCACCAGTTAAATAAATGAATGTCTCATATTTTATGGCTTGTTATTCCTTTTCCAGAATGAAATGTTTTCAAGCCGTTGCTTTTTTTAAGCCTGTGATGATTTTAAACCCTTGCTGTGCTCCTAGCACGTCTTGCTTTAATTCTGGTTGCTAGTTTTGGGGCTTAATGAAAGTAAGAGGATTTTAACTTCAGCGAGTAGAAAGCCATGATTTCATGCAGCCCTGTTAGAAACCAGCACCCCACTGAGCTCTGAACGTCTGTTTGAAACACGGCCCTCTGATCATCTCTAAAGACTTTGTCATGAACTGGATCTGAACTGCATCAAACAGCGATCTGCTGTATCTTAAACGGCATCTAAACAGTGTGACGAAACTACAACGCTTCATTATAATCAACAAAGCTGTCTACACTGCAAGCGGACAACGTTGTTAGACCGTTTATTGTAACTGGAGATTTTGAAGCCAACTTTATTCATTTTGTCAGCTTTTTTTTTTGATAAGCAAACTAGTTTATTATTACGGGAACGCTCTAATCTTGTATCTAGACATGTTTTCCTTTCAGCATCTCGTCGACTGCATGAACTCTTTCCCTCGCTTCTCACCGCTAGAGTCCTTGAGCTATTCGAGGAAGCTTCAAGACCTGAATAAATAAAATTAATTAAAAGAGGAAATCAGATTTTTGAAGAGCGGTTCGCCGCTGATAACAACAGCGTGATGGACGGCGACACGTTTTAATTAACAGACAGACAGAGGCCGCTTCATTTCACCTTTAGCCAGAACATTGTGTTCTTCTCTCTCTCTCTACGGCACACCTTTTGTTCTTTATCTTCCACATTTCTTTAAGGGTGAATCGCACAAAAAAACATTTTCAGGTCTTATTTCAAAAGCATAAAATGAGAAAGTACTTTATGCATGAATAAAATGAAGCATGCTTTAGCATTTTAAAGATATTTTTTTGTATATTTGCATAACAATTAAGCACATTTCGCATCACTGTAATGAGTCTGGACATTTTACTTTAGGGTTTGTTTGTAATTCCCATTATTCTTAATGATGCTTCTCATTAGATTCTCATTACTGTTATAAAATCATGAAAATTCTCTTTTGTCTCTATATTGACATCAGCATAAATTAAAGACAGCACACAAATACTTCTATGGTATTTAAACTAACTTTTTCTTGAGATAAAAAACTTAAGAAATGTATATTTTGCTTGAAGAAATTATATCTTGTAGAAATCGGTCATTTTAATTTGTCGGGGTTTTTTTTAAAGAATTTTGTAATGTCTAATTTATGCTTAATTATAATAAATTAATCACTGTGTCCCGACAAGATGATTTTCATAACTGTATTACAGTGATTGGAATCTAATGAAAATCATAATAATAATGACAAGCAAACTTGAGTGTAAATGTCCACACTCAATACAGTAATGAGATTTTGAGGGGGAAAATGTGCTTAATTATTAAATGCAAATTGCAAAAGAATGACCCTAAAATAGGCTTCATTTTCTTAATGCAAAATATGATTTATTTTGGTTTGGGGGGTTAAATATGACCAAGTCCTTGGCAGGCTTAATGGGATAAAAATGATCAAATTAAAATGATATTTTACTGTTGGTGTTTCTGACAGCCTTCTTCACGTTTCTCCGTCTTTAGGAGACGCTCCATATTGCACCCCGGAGCAGTATAAGGAATGTGCAGATCCAGCTCTAGGTAAGAAATCTGCCTCCTCCATGCAGAAACCTTTCAGTCTAGAGGCCAATTTTCCTCGTTGAACCCATCCGGTCCTCATTACAGATAGCTGAACCCGAGGCCACGATGGGACAGCGTGATTTATGACCCCTCTTAACCCCACCATCCACTTCCCCAGGCCTTTTTATACTTCTTCGTCTGTCCCATTGTTTTTCCATCCAGGATTTTTGAAGTTAAGAGAAATGTTCTTTCTTTTTCTCTGGCTCTAGATTTTCTGGTGGAGAGAGACAATGATTACTGCGTGTGCGAGACGCCTTGCAACATGACGCGCTATGGCAAAGAGCTGTCGTTTGTCAAGATCCCCAGCAAAGCCTCCGCCAAATACCTGGCCAAGAAGTACAACAAGTCGGAGCAGTACATTGCGTGAGTCTTGCTTGTCTCTGTAATGCTACTTACAAAGTTATATAGAAGTTCAAGCGAAACAATTGCCCAAATCCCAGTGTTTTGGCCACAACGAGACATTTGTTGATGGCTGGCTTTATATTTCTGTCATGTTGCACTAGGAGTCACATGTCTAATCTGCTGTGTTCTCTGTGACCCAGTTCTCCTATGTTCTGGTTAGTTCATTTGGTTCCACCGGTATTCTGTTAATCAGCTTCTTTGTTTGGCTCCTGCATGTAAGTCCTCAGTTCTCCCTCAGTGTTTATCGGTTCTCCTTTACACTTCGTGTGAATTATTCCTATTTTCAAGATAATTATTATTAAAGTCATTGTTTCCTAATGTTTATCTTCATCTTCGTTAGTGTGGTTAAACCGTGACACTAGGTAGCTCCAAAATCTCATTAAACCAAAATACTGAACAGTTATTTTTTCTAATCTGACACTGCAAAACTTTATCTGGACATGGTGAATTTTGTGCAAACACTTAAAATGATAAATATTTACTTAGGGTGCTCAGATCAGGATTTTTAGTGCCGATCTCTGATTACTGGAAGCAGTATTGGCAGATACAGATCACCGAAATAAATAATAGGCCAACTATTCTTAACAACAATGTATTTTAAGTATAAATTATAAATGAATTGTTTATTTATTGGCAAGCAACATGTGCAACATATTCCATTCCCTCTCTAAGAGGTGATAAGGAACAGCTTGCCTTAGAGCTTAAGAAATACAGCATTTCTGTGAAATAATTAAAAAAAACTATCAATAGAAAGTAATCAAATGTAAAACCACTGCATAGTCTTCACTTTGTAAATTAAAAATGGATTAAACCTACTAAATGTGTTAAAGAGCAGTGATTGATTTTGTTCTGTCTTTTGTTGTTTGATTAACATTAATGACACAGACGACAGCAGGAATATTAGGCTGCTGTCACTTTAAGACCGAATGCATGTTCATGCGACTCATTCCTCAACTTAATGTTCAATTAAGACATAACCAACATTGTTTAAGTGAAAACTCACCAAGCTGGACACATTTTGACATATTTTGGTGTGTATGTAACCACTTAGACTCGAACCCGAGGCTCAAAGTTCACTTGGCGTGTCCGTGTTCGCACGCACAGAAAGCCGCTTGGGGAATAATAGTATAACTTTCAAAGCTTAATGCAGTTTTAATAACTCTTTTTATTATCGAGCACACCCTGCAGTGTAGCAACAGAAGACTATATTTTACGATGATCGCTGATCTAGCTGATTTGTACGTCAAGTTTTGGCTTTTAGGGAGAAACGAAAGGAAAGAAATGCATTAAAATATCACAGCTCTAATTTCTTGCTATCTTTGCTGTAGGGTTGCAGTCATTACAATGTCTCTGCTCTCTGCAAAAAAGTTGTAAATTTATTATCCTTTTCAGACACCTGGCAGAACAGCCAGACCAGTGAATGCAGTGAAGCAATTTAAGCTGCTCAGAAAAATGATCTGATCGGCCTTTATAGAGACCACAGTTCAAAATATATGAAGCTATTATCGGCCGATAACAATTGGCACTCGATCAGTCGGAGCGCCCTTAATATTTACTTGAAAGCGTTATAAAGAAAACTACTTATTTTCAGAGAATATATCTTGAAATAAGTAAAATTTTCTGATCTCAAATGTTTTTCTTTCGTTTCCTTCTTAAGCATAAACTAAATTTAGTGACAGTTGGCAGTAATGGAGTCTGGTTGTCATCTAGTGAAAAAGTTCGGTACTGCACCCAAACAAAATCTCACTGAAAGCTCATTTTTTGAGATATCAACCTAAAATTTGAAACACAACTTGTTCAGATTTTTGGCTTTGATTTATTTGCAGTTTTAGAGTCGCCCAGGTTTTGAAAATATGTATTTTATATAAAATATGAATAATTAATTTTTTTACATTGTACATTTTCATAAACTCAAACTTCTATAACTTTTTTTCTGTTTCACTTTCTTAATTTATTTCACTTCTAAAAAAATCTGCCAAATGTCTTCTTTAAAACAAGACCAATCTTACGTCTATATTCCAAAGCATTCTTGAATTACAACCATTTAAGTTCGAAATGTGCATTTTCATGTATATTCAAAAAAAGGGGGGTGACACTTAAAGGGTTAAGCATAAACTAAATTTAGTAAGGTTTAAATGTGCTTTTGGTTGTTTGTGATGCCCTAAATGTTTCACCTCACTTGTTTAATTGTCCAGACTGGCAGCTGTTTAGCACCTCGTCAGTAATTTACCGGGATCTCTGTGTGCCATCACACACGATCCAGACAGCCAATCATCCAAGCAGCTCAAAGCCAGGGGAACAACATGGCAGACATGTAACACATCACTGCCTTGACAAACACTCTAAAAAATGTCAGGAAATGTCTCCACATCCGCAACCATCTGGAACAACACGAATCCTAATTAAGTTTACAGAGCGGGGTCAAGAAAGTTGCTGCTCTTAGTTTAATTGCTACTGTTTTCAACAGGCAATTGTACTAGTATGGGGCGTTGATTTACATACTAAGATGTTACGATTTAATGTCAACATGAAATTTGCATTTTATGTTACTACTACTTTGAAGCAATGGGTGGTGCCATTTCATTTGTGAAATTATTGTCAGCCTGAATGTATAAAACAGTGACAATCAAAACTTTCACGAAACCCTTTTCTTATATTTGTGTGAACTAAATGGAGAAGAACTATTATTTGCAGTATTTTGCATTTCGAAATGAAAAGAGAAGTCGTGTGGAACAGTTATAAATTATTTGCCGTATTTTACATTTAGAACAGGAAAGGGAAAGTTGAAGAACTGAAGAACTTGGGGGAATTTAATCTTCTGAACACTACGGATGAATGCCTCTATTCAGTTTTCTGCTTGTTCCCAAGATATTGATGACTTTCGAGTGAAATGGCTCAAAATCGGATCTCTGCTATGCTTTCTTAAATTTAGGAAATGAATCACACGTAATCTTAGATCTGCCATCGCATCTACTTATCTTTGACAGTAATAGGGTTATGTATTAATCTAAAGCAGGGAGACTGATGTTTTGAACCCAAATGATGTAATCTCTGGGGGTTTTAAAGGAGGAAGATGGTGTTTTTAATACTTTGCTTTAAAGTAGCACTTCATTGCTATCCGTCGATAAACCTGTTACAAAAGTGCCATTAAGGCTAACCTTTTTAGTGTTTTTGGCTTCCAGGTATCTTTGAAATGCTTGGCCAAACACTCATGAAATAACTGCAGCTGTCGTCTGAAGCTTAATTAAACTTTCAAAATGTAGTCAGTGAGGAGAAAAAATTAACTTTCACAACATGTGCAGTGAATATGTGTAGAAAATTAAAAACTCATTTAAAAAAAAAAAAATTTGGTAAAGAAGTAGAGTACATTCTAACTATATGATGTAAACTCTGAAGTGCCATGGCTTGATGGTGCAAAAACGTAAGAGAGGCATTCAGATTCAAGTCCAGCTGTGTTTAAAATAGCCCCAGGTCTCCGCTGGCCCGGCTCCAACCAGATGCTTACAGCAGTGGCAGATAAGAGAAAGAAATGCTGTGAAATTGGCAGAGATTGTGGATCGATGCTTGGAGGGATGGTGTGAAGGATTGGGAGGGTTGTGGAAGTAAATTCAGTTGAGAAGTCCTCACCTTTCCCTTCTGTTCTGCCCTTTAGAGAAAACATCATGGTGTTGGACATCTTCTTCGAGGCCTTGAACTACGAGACCATCGAGCAGAAGAAAGCCTACGAGTTAGCCGGCCTTCTCGGTGAGCGGCATTTTCCCAGACGTCAAGAGAATTATTTGATTCCTTGACATCTCCAGTGGTTATTTTACTAATTGATTACAAAAATAGCTCTTCCAAACGAAGTCAGTGTTACAGTTTTTAGAAAGTCAAAGTTACTTATTGTGACTCTAAACATAAAACTTAGACACTTTAAAGTATTTGAACATGTTTGAACTATTCATTCACACACTATGTGGCTGTTTACACGACACCGCTTTCAACTTACCGTATATACCCGAATATAAGACGACCCCCCCATTTTACAGACTTATTTTTGTGGAAAAATAGATTTTTGTGGAAAAAATCTGGTTTTCAACAGTAAATAATTTTAAGAGCAAATTTCCGAGGCGTTGTTCCAAATGCCTCGCATCACCTGTGCCTCGTGTAGAGGCCCGCCTCTCGTCAGTCGACAGCGCGGGAGAAAAAGGCTATCAATCGATTCCTACCTCCACTCGAATATAAGATGACCCTGAATATAAGATGACCCCCCATTTTTCAGCCTATTTTTAGGACAAAAACCTCGTCTTATATTCGGGTATATACGGTAAAACGTAAAACTTTTTATGCGTTTTGACCGTTTGACAGTGGTTTGGGTGCCTGAAAACGCAAATTTTTGAAAACGTGAAATGTCTCCATGTAAACAACGTGTTCAGTCTATAGTGTTTCATCGCCATCTAATGGCCTGGCAGAATACTGCTCTTTAAGTCGTCTTCTCGGATCCGTCTAAATGGGGATCGTTTTGACAATGGTGTCGCCTGTACACGGAAAACTCAAAGGGAAAAGGAGGGGTCCGTTTTAAGCATATCGTTGTCGTGTAAACGTACCCTATATTTTACAAAGCTTGTAAAGGGTGTTCAGGTGACTAATTACTGAGCTAAACGGTTTCAGGTGACATTGGAGGACAGATGGGGCTGTTTATCGGGGCCAGTATCTTAACCGTCCTGGAGCTCTTTGACTATCTTTATGAGGTAAGACCTCCATGACTCAAATCCAAACCTGCACCTGTTATTTCTCCCTTTTTCTATGTATTAAAGAACCTTCAGAAATATTTACCCTGAAACTTCACGGTTCACGTCACACACAATGGCATTACATTCTCCTCTCTTTTTGTGTCTGATATGACCTTTACACAAACAATGCTCTCTTAACACTGAAGCTTTCTTCCACTCTAGACCCTTTGCCACAATCTGAATCTGAATATATTATTATTTACCAAGCCTTTGCTTATGATGTGATTGCTTCTGAGATATCAATGCCCTGAAGGCGAAGGTTGGAATTATCTCTTGATTGGGAAAATTGTCATCGGATCTGATAACAGGTGATTCAGCAAGTAAGCAAGCGGAGCAGAAGAAAACTACTAGAATTATATTCAAAGTGAGCTGCGGATTCATTGTTGTCGGCAGATGCAGTGCCTCAGGCATTACGAAGAAATAATTTTAGTGTGCATGCACACGCTCTGTCATTAGCATCTTAATCAACCTATCGTCTGCAAAGATGTTGCCAAATATTGTCCTCGGATTTTGTTTAAGATGATTGATAAGCATTGGTCTCATCTGCAGAAGTATTACACACTTGGCTGGCCGAGTTTATTATATTATTCCTCCTATTGATGATTTTAAACTCTGGCAATGCCAGGAGAGCTATTTTTCTTGTCTGTTGTCTTGGGCACTCATTGGGTATCGCTGTATGGCAGTGATTGATAACAGATCATGTGACGTTTTACAGGAAGTGCTGACTTGAACCTCTGTGCTACAAACTTAGTTTATATACTTATGTATTTGTATCTTTGAGCATACGGCCAAAGATATTGAAAACTACCTGTGCATCGTGAGTCATAAATCATCACAGTATTCATGATTTTTCTTAATGTTATATCAGCTGCAAAATCTTTTGTGAAACGCCCAGTACTGCTACGCACCAATACATATGACTGGAAAAACAGGGAGGAGATGCCAGGAGAGCTATTTTTCTTGTCTGTTGTCTCGGACGCTCCTTGGGTATCTCTGTATGGCAGTGATTGATAACAGATCATGTGACCTTTTACAGGAAGTGCTGACTTGCACCGCTGCGCAACAGACTCATATTAGCCTGTGGAAAACAACAGCAAAGGCACAAGCATTCAGGATGTTTCTGCTGGAAGATAAAAGAGACAGATTGAGATGTGAAAGGCATAGTTCACCCAAAAACGAAAAACCTGCCATAATTTACTTACCCTGACGTTGTTCGAGATCAGTTATTTTTCTTCAGTAGAATGGAGCAAAGTTTAGCGGAAGCATTTCCACTGGGGAAACTTGTGGATGTTTTTTTTTTATGCCTGATTTTTTTTTAATCCAAAATTGAAACAGTCCAATATACTTATTTTATTCTGACCAAAATCACACATTATGTTGATGATGTTGATGTACAAACCTTTTAGGTGAACTTGAAGGTCGTGACTAAGGCCTGGGATCAAGTCTTCTGCTCATTTATTTAGCAATTGAGAAATTTAAGCCATTTTTACTGATTTATCATTCCAGAATAGAAGCTTTCAGTTGGGAAAGCCATTCTTGTGGTAAAATATACATGAACCGAGCAATGCGCCACAGTTTTGATAAATTGACACTCAATGTAAAAATTCCCTCGAGTCTGGTTCAGACTCAACGGCAGGCTCTAAGTATTACCAGTGACATTAGGACACAGATGGAAGACAACCTGTCAGATATGGCAGGTGGAAACTGGTGTCGTTTGCAGGAAACGAGGCACAAATACTGTCAGTTCCAGGACTTGTGTTTGTATAATCTGACTGGCTTAAACTGACTTCTGGTACAAGCCAGCCGAAAGCTAATAACAAACAATACATCATCCATCCATCATGTTATTCTGTGTGTCAGGAGGCCCTCATGGGGAATGGGGGGAAATGCCCCAGTTACAAGCTCAGATCTGCGTCTTCATATTGTTTCTGTCTGTTTCTAGAAAAGCAACGTTTGGGGAAAGAAGAAAATGTCGACTTCCTGGAAAATGTTTATTTTGAATGTGTGCTTTACTTGGGAACCAAGATGGGAATAGAACTAGGCTAGTCTTACATCTACAAACCCACAGGGTTCCTGTCATCCATGTACAGCTTTTTTTCTGAAATTGTTTATCCAAAAGTAAATCTGTCAAGAAGATTTAACCCTTCAAAAACGCTTTATCAACTGCTCTCCTCATGACCATCTACAGACTGCAGATACCATAGTGTGAACTGAACTGCAGTTCTAATGTGCGGGTTTGATTTCTCTCTCCGCAGGTGATCAAGTTCAAACTGTGTCGCTGCGCCAAGAAGAAACACCAGCGGAGAGACAACAATGAGCGAGGAGCTGTTCTCAGCCTGGACGACGTGAAGCGTCACGTCAGTAACTATCACACCAGTATCTGTGCTGACCGATAAACTCAAACTAACACACAATAAAGACTGTTTCGGAATATCATACTGCCATACTACTCTACTATTTGCACAATATGCAGGGTTTTTTTTTTTTTAAATGCAGCTACAACAGAGCAGATGCTACCCACAATGCAATGCGCTCAACTTGACCTTCCATTGCCAGTGTAATGATTGAACTAGTAGTATCAACTGTGTTTTAGCATCATCTTGAGTCATTGTTTGATTGGACTAACAAAAGTTCAGGCGTTTTTATACAAAATTGAATATGAAATGCATTTTTATTGCTGGAGATGGCAACTTACATATGCACAAATGAGGTTATGTTTACTCCACACTGTGCAGGGCTTGACATTAACTTTCCTGCTCATCATCCACTGTGGCTAGTGGTTTTCCAAAGTTACTAGACACTCAGCATTTTCACTGGCCACAATTTTGACATCGATAGGGGGGAAAAAACAGCCATATAGATATTTTTAATATTTTCTCATTATTTTGGCAGCAGGTATATTAGGCTACTATCACTTTAAGACCTGACACACGGATCCATTAAACTGTTACACATGCATCTCTCCCAAATGTTTACATTCATTTAAAATATAACTGACTGTATTTATGTGAATCCTCACCAAGACCGGCATTTTGACATTATTTTGTGTGTATTTGACTGTTTAAGCGCAATAAGCAGCAAAAGATAACTAAATTTACTGCTGTGAGGCGGCTTTATGAGCGCACACTTTGGGTGTGAGTACAAAATCTGCAGGAATGAGTCAAATTATCCGTAATCCCACGCCGAAATTCAAGCCTTGGAACACCAACAATATTCATCCGGAGTGAAAATGAAACTAGTGAGTGAGGAGAGACAGGTTTGTGTGTCGCTGTTAGAGAGATGAGAGTTGAGAAAGCACAGTGCCGTATTAGGTGTCTATTCTGTGGAAAATAAGTTTTGGAAGCGTTTCAGATATTTCAGTATCGAAATGTATTAATGAAAAATCAATATTTTGACACTACATTGCACTAAGTTTATTATTTCAGGGACCTTCTTAGAAGACTTCAATTAAAAAATGTGTATATATATATATATATATATATATATATAATTCAACCCGCCAAAGTAGGAGTGACTGCATTACACGCCACTGCTGAAATCCATCCACATATTTGGCGGGTGTTAATGTCAAGCCCTGATACTGTGTAATGCTTCATGTACTACTTTCAAAAGAATAGTATTCAGTTTATACTGTGCAGTTTCTGATGATCTGTTTCCTCTCAGGCACCCTGTGACAACCTTCGTACCCCGTCAACCTACCCAGCCAACATGCTACCTCACCATCCTGGCCAGGGCAACTTCGAGGACTTCACTTGCTGAGCTTAAAGCCAGAGCAGCCTGTCTGACAGAGAACAACCAAAGCCGATCACATCAGTACGGACTCCATTCACAACCGGACATTACAGAGAAACCTTCTGGATCTGCTACACACGGGAAAACCACCATGTCCTGAGATATAACCTGACATCGGAGGAACGGTACCAACCAACAAACTATATGTTCACTAACGCGTTACATGGAAATGTGCAAAACTTTTGATGTTTTTTGAAGAATTTAAAGGAAATACTGCCTCAAAAACAAAACTCCTTGAAGCCTCGTAAATGTGGAGCGATTACCCCACGCCAAAATTACACATAATGTGACTCGGACATCGAATAGCTTCTCGCAGCTGGACCTTGATGCCTTTTGTGTACATAGTGACGGCTCGAAACTGTCTTCAGACCAGTGGCTTATGTAGATCAGTAGATAAATATAGCGCTTACTCACTGTATGTAGCCTCATTAGTCCCATCTGCTGGATCGATTCTGTATCTCACGAGTATGTAACTTCCCGAACAAGGTGACCATTACATGCGTCACGGGGGGGTTTCGGGACGCTGGAGGGTTCGGGTCCCATATGACATTGTGTTACAGGTCTCATCTTGTAAATGCATGCTGGTCGTCCTGTGCATGTTTTTATTTTGATTTCGATTTCATTATTACTATCGCCAAGCTTGCCTCAATTATATACAGGTGTTGGAAGATGGTGTAAAGTTTGTGTAAGTGTGTATATGTGTGCGTGTGCAGGTTCTGCTGTTCTTGTGGGGATGACATTTCTCCGTGACCCCAGAAGAATAGCAAGCTGACAAAAGCACCTTGTGAGAACATCTCTACAAGGATACAACGGTTCAAAAAGAAACGAAACAATGTATAAATTCATATCTAAAAATGCCAAAAAGTTTTATTTTACGTTCAGGATTAGTTTGGTATTTGACAAACAAACAATAGATGTGAATGGAAAGTCCTCAAAAGGATACAGTGGCCCCAAAAGATGTTGTGACACTCGAGTTACTCTTACTAATGCGTGAGAATAGTTGCATTAGAAAGCAGTTGCGCATCTCAAATGCTGCAGGGTCGTTTTCTCTTTACTCGTGTTCGCTTTCCTTCATCACTTTTGCTTGTCGTCTTTAAATCTGCAGGTGTTTTTAGTGGATTCTCCTGAAGGTCTTCATTTTCACACTGTTTGCTCTTTCCTCTATCTTTTAACTCTTTCCCCACCAGCGTTTTTTTTATTTTATTTTTTTTAAGTTGCCAGCCACCAACATCATTTTCACAAAAATGTTCATGACCCCCAGAATATTTTGTTGTATGAATATCTGAACATGCAATGTATCAAAAGAACAGACCCTCTGCTTTTAAACAACAACAACAACAAAAGTTTTATTTTAGCTGCATGGATTCTTTTTTATTAACACTTGAATGTGGGTAAGTTTAATGAAAAAAGCGCATTTTTGTCTAATACTATATCTGGATCATATTCCAACACAGATGGAGTAGATTTGAGTCCATCAACACCCCCAGAGCTTCACAGTCCTATCGCTTGTCCTGAGTCCACATTTTATTCAGTAATATTAGACATTTTTGATTTATATGCTTTTTAATGTTGATAATCGCGTTATTTTACATATGCATATGATTACATATGATATCGCTTAGTGATGCACCGATGTGAAAATTGTGGCCGATACCGATAACCGATGTTAATATTGCTGTTATGGCCAATACCGATATTTGCCGATGTCGAAATCTCTGTATAGAAAACACATAGCGAGGATTAGGGCTGCACGATATTGGTAAAAAAAAATGATATTGCGATATTTTATTTTTCTGCGATATATATTGCGATATAAAAACAATTTCACCAGATGACTTGAATAGCTATATTTGGAAAGAATGAATCATTCAAGAATGACTGGGGTGGTTTTGTCATGGAGTAAATCTGCATAGAAACTAATATTAATAGAATGTTAACAAATGTAGTTAACTAGACTTTAATAAATGGAACCTTATTGTAAAGTGATTCCGATTTATGTCTCTTGAGTTCAGTGTTGGACAGATCAGTTGTTTTAACCATTCATTAAAGTGAATCGGTTCAAAGGAGTCATTAGTTCGCGAATCGGACCACGGCACACGTTTGTGTGATTATCCAGGCAGTTTAGGACATCGCACAAGATTTGTCTCAACAGAAAACATTTCATCACTAGATAGATTTTTTTTGTTTATTGAAAGTGTGGTTTATGTCATCTGAATGTGTGGAAAGTTTTTCAGAGAAGATAAGGCAACGTTATTTTAGCACAATTCACACTTCCGACCTTTTACCATCGTGTATTCTCAAAGATATTCAGTCAACTCAATTCATTAATATGCGCGAGGGAGGGAAAGAGAGCAAGACAGTTTGAAGACGGTGAGATCGGGGCTTTCACTCTCTCTGCTGGTTCTCTCAGTTTAACAAGCGCAGCAGTCACTCATCTACATCACTCACCGGTCAAATAAGGCTTTGGCGGGACAAAAATACGCCTTAGTAAGGCTGACAGAAAACAGCGCGCAAGTTCCAGTCTTTACCCTTCTTGCTCTTGATATTTAAACTGACAGGACTTGCGCTTGTAATGTATGCGCTCGTGCAAAAACAAACATCCCCGCCCCCACACTCACATCTACACACACGTCAAATACACAGGAATGATTATCGGCCTGTTCACATCGGCCCTATTTTGACATCGGAACGATACCGATGTGTAAAAAATTGACCATATCGGCCGATATTATATCGGCGGCCGATATATCGTGCACCACTAATATCGCTTGTTTCTGCATCTTCCTCCCATGTGTTTTGATCTGGACTTTCAGTAATCTTCCAGAAGATGTGTAATAGCGCCCCCTACCGTATAACAGTGAAAACACGGGAAGCCGAAAAATTCTGTCACTGGCGGGGAAAGGGTTAACACCATGTTTCCTTTTATTGTTTAAGAAACAAACTTACTTTTTATCAAATGTTTTGACACTTGCTTTGATATTTTGTGGACACTGAAATAATATTCAGGCATTTGTAAGTGTGACTCAAGTGGCCAAATACTTTTAGGGCGACTGAATGAAAACATGATTGCGTACGAGTGCATGAGGGTGTGACTGAACATGAATGTATGTGACGAATCTTTCATCATTTGCGCGACTGGTCTGTTTCTGGACGAAAAACTTCCCAGGATCAAGAATGTAACAAACCAAAGAGTTTGTATTGCTAGGTGGACCAGACCGATCACTCGTACGACATACCATTATTCTAGTTGTGCGTGCGTATGCATGTATGTGCGTGTGAGACTGTTATTCTTCTGTCTTTATTTTGATTGTTAATGAAAATTGAACTGTGTATTTAACAACTTATTATTGTTTGTTTGAATTCTGTACTTGCGAGACGTATTTGTTAATGTCGCGAACTTCATATCAAAGCACAAATAAGACCACCGAAATGTAAAGGTGATGTTAAAGAATGATAAAATATTCTTATCAGTGTTATCATGATAATCAGCAGATTCATTATTACTCTGTTAAACTTTGCTTTGTTTTGTTTTTTTACTACAAACATACATATTGCCTGATAGTGCAGTCGGCAGATTATAGGCTGTTCTATTTATCTATGAAGGAATAATAAATCTCATTCATAATTTTACTAACGTCTCATTGTTATTTCATTCAGCTTTGAGGTGGATGTCAAATGATTGTTCACATTTAACTTTAGAAGTAGGAGATTATAATCATAATTCTTCAGGATTAATTTATGTTTGTGAATTATATTAGATTGCAACCTCACTTTAGCCATGATGCTTTAGATTCAAAAGCGAAGAAGCACTTTCACAGTTTATTAGTACAATTTTTCGCTCGCATCAGCAGAAGAACGCAGACCTTCAAGAACTGTTAGCAAAACCGGACATCATGGAAATTATTCAGCTGCCGTATTCTTTAAAAAAAAAAATTGGAATAAAAATGGTCTTGAATTACAGGTAGTTCCCAATTCCCCGGCCTTAATGTTCACTTACCTCAAACCTATTCATGAATTCAAACAGCAGGTACTGTAGAATTCATTTTGAACCTACATTATGGAAAGCAGAAACAGGAAGATGAAAGATGAAGGCGATGTTCATGGGCACCAGACGCTATCAGGATACAGTATACGAGTGCATGAGCAGATCAAACCCAAGAGGAATAAGAGAAACATCCAAGCGTGAGACATCCATCAAGATCATCAGTGGACTCTTCTCAGTATTAAAGGCATCGGAACCATGATTAAATATAAATAACAGACTTTGGAACGCATTCTCCAAAGTCACCCGCAAGGACTGGATCGGATGGTGGTGGTCCAGCATATGTTTAAAGGAAGAGGAGAACATCACACATGATTGATGAATGTCATTTCCTGCTGTAGTCTCTGCGCTGAAGTGCAGATGCAGGGAAGACTGCCAACGACACAACCGGCAGCGCATTCTGATGAGGATCTTGTAGTGCAACACTAGTGCCTCCTTGTCCTTCAAATGCATCAAACACATGCATTTTGAAAGATGCATTTATTCTCCATTCACAACAGCTGCTCTCGTGAATGCACAGTTTGTTTGGTTTCGAACTGTAGGGTTACAAATTTATTAAAATGTTTAATTTAGGTTCCAATACAAAAGTATTTTAACTGAGAAAGTTCTGCACACTGTTTTCCATTTTGAGGCATTCAAGGTGTCGGACATTAACCTCTTGTCACATCTCAAAGGTCAGCTGGGCCTTTTGTTGATCTAATCGGGCTGATTGGATTAGCATCTCAAGGCTCTGAGTAACACTGTTATGCTGATGAAATCAGGTAACCAGCTGAATCAACATGCTTTGTTTCAGAGTGTCTCCACCTCTATGTAACCCCCCCCACACACACACACACGCGCGCGCGCGTCTCCTGGTCTTCGCTTCTGAGTTTTCAAACACTTTAGAAGAAAAGAGTTAACAACAGAACCAATATCCTTCTAAGGCTGCATCAAATTCACATACTATCCATCCTTAATAGTAGATTTCATACATCATTGTACATTAAAAAATAATATGCTAAAGGTATCCTTGTACAACTAAGATCTAAGAATACCATGGTACAAAAAAAGCCATGGTTACATGTTACCATGTCCATAAAAACACATTAAAGTAACACTATGTAGTTTTTCAACCTTCATAATATATTTCCAAGACCCTTGTGATGGTACATCGACTTAAAATAAGTTAAATGACACGTCTGCCATAGCCTGACGTGGTCTGACTGTATCGCTTTTACTGGCACTATGTAACTTCGGGTTTCGGGTTAGGAACCCGAGCACAAAAAGAACTACAAAAATTGACTGCTTTAGGGCATACGTCACTTCCCCCACCACTTCCTCAAATTGTCTGTGGCCATTGCAGACATCCCAAGTCTATAGCGTCTCCCTGATGCCCGCAAATTAGTTCAAATCTCCCAGAATCTAGAGCGCGCATGCGAGACAGAACATACTGCGCGCATAACATACATAGCGCGAGCACGGCAGAGAGGGAGAGAGCGAGAGACCTTGCGAGTGTGCCTAACGAAAGCTAGTCAACCCGCCACACACACACCCCCCCCCCCCCCCCCCCCCCCCCGTCAACAATCCAGTCACCAAGATATATCTCCCTGAAATGACTTCTTGCAGGTTGGGATGTCTGCCATTGTTGATTCCAAAGCCGGTGCTGGATAAACAGCGAGCGTGCGCGTGTAGGCTGCGGTAGGCTAAATTATTTATGACAGCGGTAATGGACAATTCCGCTTCCAACCTGTAGGGCGACCGCTGAGGAAAAGTTACTTGGTGTTGCTTTAATACCATGGTAAAAAAAAGGGGGGTTCTCTCCAATGTGGAACAACAGTGCCTTCCTCTAGGCTAAATGTCACACGTTTTATAATACGTCTACATAATTGAGTAGACTGACACTGATGTCCATGTCACCTGATAGGTGCGACATTCCTATAAAGTATTATCACATTAGCTGTGTCACTTAATTTATCAGATCATCTGAAACTGTGAAAATGGAAGTACCCTACAAGCCTCTCTGAGTTCATCACACTGGTAC